AAGAAAGAAATCTCCTAGTTCAGATGGTTGCAGTTATGAATACTTGTAATCCTTTAGGAGATTTTTCCAGGTTGAAAAACTACTTAAATGGGAAAATACATCTTAATTTTTATTTCCCATATTTATGAAAATCAATTTCAAGAGGATTGTACTTCTAGATGTGAAAGGAAAATAATAACACAATAAAAATGATAGAAACCCTGTTCTACATGTCTCTGGAGTACAGTGAATTTCTTAAACAGGATGCAAAATGTGACAATAGAGAGAAATAAAATTACACTTCCTTAAAATTAAGACATTCTATTGACTGAAAGATATCAAAGAATGGGTAAATTTTTTGACTCTGTTTTGGGAAGACAAAGGGCAAATTTAAACTTCATAAGATATTTGCAATACCTATAAACTGCAAAAGACTCCCATCTAGAATATAATAAAACTCTGATGAATCAAACAGAAAAAGAGAACTAACTCAACAAAATATGGGCAAAATGTTTAAACATGTCTGTCACAAAGTATTCCACCTAAATAAATAGTAAATATGAAGGTACTTTAACAGTATTGATGATCATAAGAATATCAATTAAAGCCACAACAAGATACCAACATTCATTCATCAGAATGGCAAAAATGGAAAAAGCCAACAATAAAGTATTGACAAAGATGTGGAGCAACTGGTATTCTCATCCACTTCTGGTGGGATTATCTACTCTTTATGGTATTATATACTAAAGCTAACGTATACGTATTCTACAGTTTACAATTCTTCTCATAATTATATACTGAATTGTATCTACTATTTATTAAAAGATTAAAAATATAAAGTATATTCTTGTATGAAACCATACTATTTGCAATAGTCAAAATGTGGCATTCCAAAAGTCCATCAAAAGTAAAAAAATTAATAAATGATGCTATATACATAGCATGGAATGCACTACAGCAAAGGTCTGCAACCTACAGTCTGAGGCCAAAGTTAGCCCATCTCCTGTATTTGTATGGCCACGAGCTAAGAATGATTTATACATTTTAAAATAATCCAAGTAATAAAAATAATTAAAACAAGAATAATATTTTGTGAAACATGAAAATTATATAACATTTAAATTTGCATGTTAAATTTTATTAAAACACAGCCATTCTCATTTGTTTAAGTATTTTAATCTGTGTTTGCACTACAAATACAGAGTCAAATAGTGCAATAGAGATTGGCTAACAAAGCCTAAAATATTTACTATCTGGCCATTTATATAAAAAATTTTCCAATACTTTTTTACAACAATGAATTAATGAACTTTTGCTACATGTAATGACATGAAAAAATCAAACAAGCATAATGTTGAACAAAATAGAAAAGATGCAATAATACCTGAAAGTTACATGATTTTACTTATATAATTGTTTTTAAATGAGCAAAATTAACCTATGGCAATAGAAGTCAAAACAACGATTACCATTGGCAAGAAGTGTTGAATGGAATGTGAGACTATCAAGGTGAACAATTTTGCCTTAATCAATCTTGCCTTAATTACATGAATAAGTTGTATAATTAATAATAATTCACTCATTGGTAGCCACTAAATGTATCATGAAAAATGGGAAGAGAATGAGTATAATGAGAAAAGATCATGATTGAGACAGGAAGGAAAAGGATCATAAACCAGAAAGCCATGCAAAAGAAAAAAAATGAGAAAATAAAGGATGAAACTTACCTATTTCCACTGCTAGTACAATTGATGTCATTACTAATAAAGTATATA